ATTTATTGAGATGTCTGTGAAAGATTGTATTACTGTACTGTGTAAAAAATGAATCTCAATGCTGAAAAAGGAAAAAGCATAACAATGTTTGGACTTAAAATCAAAATAATGGATAAATGTTGTGTTTGTGGTAAACAGCCACAGATCAGGAGCAGACTCCTGTGTGAAAGCACAGTCCGTGCTGCTTCTGTACCACACATGGCCTACATACGCACTGCAAACGGAGTATGTGTGAACCTCACATACACAAGCTATTGTGCAACAATTACACGATTGTAAAAACAAAAATACAGTGCATGATCAAACATTTAGGAGAGATAAATATATATTTTTGAAAAATATCTCAAAAATGTCCCCCTCCACTCCCCAATTTAAAAAATCCCCTTTCACAAGAGTCACCTAAGTGGGTAATTCATTTTCAAAAATGAAATTCAGGCCCTGAATAAATGTCTAAAAATCTTGATTGGATCATCATCTAGAATACAACTCTGCACACTCATCCTTAAAAAAACGTACAAATAAAGTTCAAATGCATTTAAATTTTAGTTTTGTAAAGAAATCCATTCATAAGTGCTACTAATTTCAAGCATTTATGCATATGCCTGTACAGTAAAGAGATTTTTTAAATCTTCAGATGCATACATTTTGTCAAACCAGCAAACATTTGACTGATACTGTATTAATTGCTTTTATATGTTTTATTTTCCTGATTTTTTTATTTATTACAACTAAGGCTGGAGTGTAAAAGGTGATATTGGAATTATTGGAAAAATTTTCAATCAAATCAAATGTTTTGGGGTTAGATTTTTTTTTTATTATATTAAAAAATAGTGTAAAAATTAATTTTACACATTCATTTAACAGCAATTTTTTTTTTACATTAAAAAACAGTAACATTGTAAAATATTGCTAAAATTTAACATAACTGTTTCTTTTTAAATATATTTTTAATATTTTTTTTATTTTTTTTAATAAAGTAATTTATTCCTGAATTTTCAGCATCATTACTCCAGTCTTCAGTGTCACATGATCTTTCATAAATCATTCTAATATGCTGATTTGATCAAGAATCATTTATTTTTATCATTGTTGAAGATAGATGTGTTTCTTAATATAGTTGATAGATGTGTTTTTTAAACTGCACTACTTTTTTCAGGATTATTTGATGAATAGAAAAGGGAAAAAAACAGTATTTATTTCAAATAGATTTTTTGTAACATTATAAATGTCTTTACTGTCATTTTAGTTCCATTTAATGTGTCCTTGCTGAAAAAAAGTATAAAAAAAATCTTGTGTAAATTCTAATACACAGCATTTATTAAAAGCTTATTGAAATGCTGATTTTTCTGAAGTATAAACAGAGCTTGGCAGTGAGTAAATCCAGGACCAAACTACTTAGTCCAGTCTGATTATTTTTGATGGGAGGGGAAAATAAACAAAATATCTGTCCACATTGTGCCTGAAATATCAGTTTGTCTATATTCAGTAATCTATATAACTTCTTCTCAAGCAGCTCTGATGATAGTGTTCTAATGCTTCCAGCTGTCGTTCCTGCAGGTGTATAGCAACACAGCAGGAGTGTTGTGCAGGTGTCCTGCAGGAGTTTCCTTTTTTTGTTAAGGAGAGACCAATGTGCCATTAAATTATCTCTTCATCTGTTCCTCATTTCTTCTCTTCCTTTAATATAAAAGCGCTCTTATAACTTTACTGGATAATTGTTAGTCAGTCCTCATGAACACTGCTGATTTAAAGACTGTGTTATTCCCAAATGGTCTATACAACATTAAAAGAATCGTGATAGAATTATGACAACAGACTGTAAACTGTTATCTTCCAATCTCATGCTTTCAAATATTAGAGGTCTATTGTCATCTGAAAGTTCGATGGCTGAATAATTGCAGTAACACTGCTGCAGGCAGGTGCGTTGTGGTTTTGGGATGGCTTTTTATTTCTCTGGTGTGGTTTGGCTTCTCTGGTTACTCTGTACTCAGACTCTCTCTGTCAAAGCACTGAAACCAACTGCCCCGGGCTCACAGAATCTCAGCCAGCATTATATTCCTCACCTTGAAGGAGGAGCTTGTGAATCAGAGCGTCTTTGATTCAAAAGTAAGTCTACAAAGACGTTGCTGCTCTGAAGCTGCTCCAAAGTCTTTGCAAGCAAGTTTTCAAACAGCTCCAAGTGATAGGAAGAATATTGACGTTGGGTCAAGTGACTAAAGAGTTTTTAACATATTGCGCACTGTATTTGAGTGTGTCATACTCAAAACCTTACAGTTCAACCAGCTGCTAAATTTTCTAACTTTGCATTGTTGAATTTAAATTAATTCATTATCACAGTGTTTCCAAAGTTGCAAATTTATGTGAAATATATCATAATGTTGCAAAATTCTTTTTGCAAATTAAAAAGTGTCCACTGCATGTGTTAATGAGAATGAAACTGGCACAAAATCTAAATTTAAAAATTGACAGAATTGTGGCACTTTTAATAAAATGTGATTTAGAGCATGCAGACAAAATGACAAGATGTTTTCTTTCTTTCTTTCTTTCTTTCTTTCTGCACCGAGTCTATTTTTGCTGCGCTGCAAGCGCTGAATTAAAGTAACAGCGCATTTTTTGCAGTAAGTATGAACATGGATTGACACGAAAATGCAGTAATTACACCCTCAATGCATATTATTAAAGTCTACTGTGTTTCACTGTCAACACATATGGCTTGTTGGCTAGGTTTAAAGGAAAAGAGCACTTTTAGATAAACAAGGCAATAAGAGATGGCACTAGGGGAGGTAGGAAAACAAAGTTCTTTATGAACGGCAGGATTGCTTGTAATAAAGATCTAAATGCAAAAGAAAAGGCAGTAGGGCTGACTGTTACGGTCAATGGTAAGTTTGTGATACCGTAAGAAAAGTAGTTTAAATATTTTGCCAATTGCTTGAGTAACTTAATATATAAATCTAGAAGTAAATGCAAAAGTAAAAGGCATTGAATAATGTGTTGCTTATATTTATTGAGTTTAAACATGTCTGTGAAAGACTGTATTACTGTACTGTGTAAAAAAAGAATCAC